CATGACAGGTGGAGCAGGAGTATTGTGATGTGATGACCTGGAACCACAAATCCAAATTCAGGTAAATGAATTAAATTGCTTTTGATTTGCAGCCCAACAAAGTAAGGTTACAGAATGCCAGCCATCCATTTCTTTTGCCTGGTTGTTAGCTAATTTGTAGTATTGCTAGCATGGATTTTATTTAAATCCAGTCTTGTTCAATCACAGTGATAATAATCAAAACCCAAGTTAATAAAATATTTCTGCAAAAGTACATTCCCTTTAATGAGTATAACCATATTAAATATCAGTCATGACTCAGAAGTAGTTTTAGTTTTGACTTTTTAGAAGATACTTAAATATACATTAAACACAGGGGCACATATGCTTGTACGTCGACATCCTCTGTCCTCACTACTGTCTCATAACATAGTTCCCCATGTCTCACTCTGTCCAGGAATCAGTTGCAGTCTTGCAGCTATTTTTAGAGAAAGGTAAGGACTTAACTTTTTATGTACATGAGTACAGCTGATCAAGTCCGTGTCCTCTCGTCTGCATATTTATTACTGTTAAGATAAACTGTAAATTAGATTGCTTTTTTACATGCCTATTGGGATCTGCCAGGCTAGTGATTGTTGAATCTGGTGAATCTGGCTGCGTATGTAATCTCCTTGTGAATTTCTAAAACACACAAAAACAACAACACAGGCTCACAGACCTCACTGCAGAGCTACTTTATGAGTATCGCTGTGGTGGACCTTGGTAATAGACATGTTTTCAAAAGCTCCTCATTTGACCTGAATGAAAAGATTTGGAAACTTCTGTTCGGTGTTGACTAAGTGTCTATACCCATTTGGTACAGTAGTTTCTCTTTGAGCTTTCCAAATAACCGATAGTGGAGTTGCCAGAGATCTTTGATATAACTCATGATCGATAGTGAATTATTCATATAGTACTTCTCTTAAAGGTTTGCAATATAATTTACTCTATAATTGTAAGCTATAATCGTTATTCCATTATGATACCTTTGAATTTTGGTATGTCTTGCCTTAAAACTACCTCTACAGAGAATTTTTATTCCTCAAAGCCCACATGTCAACAAGCTTCTTTTCACTTTTAAAAAATCTTGATTTTTAAAATTGTTTAAAGTATCACTGACACCAAAAGAAGATTAAAAGTAAGATGAGATGTGTAAAGATTAATTTTAATGGGGTCAAATCCTTCTCTTTTGAATGCGTAAGTAAAAGTTTAATTACTGATTAGGAAGTACATCATGAATCTTGTTACCTCCAGTGTATTGTGTAACTAGAAATATATCACCTGCTATTAGAGACAACATATTGAAATAGGATGCACATACAGGGCACTTTAGCTGTCAGATTAAGCAGAGTCCCTTAATTTGTGTTTCTAACAAGCCCGATCTTTGTCTCCACATGCCATATAATGGTTCAGTACAATTTACTTTTTAACTTTAATTCTCTAGCCTTAGATCCAGTGCTTATTTTTGGAATTTATATTTAGTTGTCTATATTTTAGGTCCAGAACATCTTGCTTAAAAAAATCAGTAATTATTTTATACTAAAAGTAAGGAGCCCTGGTATCACATCATTTAAGCACTGGGTTGCTAACTGAAAGACCTGGGGGTTTGAACTCACCCAGCATCTCTGCAGGAGAAAGACTTGGCAATCTGCTTCTGTGAAGATTACATCTAAGAAAACCCTACAGGGCTGTTCTACTCTGTCACATGGGATTTCTGAGTTGAAATTGACTTGATGGCACTCAACAACAACAATTTCTTAAGTGTATGACTTCTAGCATTTCTGGAGGAAGAATTAATTATGTTATAAAAAGGTTGGAACTAACTGATACAGTTATTGTTGATTATTATACAGTATTCAAGAGCACTCTGGGTGATGTCTGGAATTTAGTTTGCCTGTCGTGGATATTCATTTTAATATTACCATTCCACTTAGGTTTTGCCAATAAAATTCTATTATTGTTCAATTGGTTATATTTTTTGGTTATATAATCCAAGTTTCACTTCTGTCTTTTCCAGCTTAGAGTGCTTTATTATGGATAATATTGCGAAGAATGGGAATTCTAGAACACTTAATTGTGCTCATGCAAAACTTATACATAGACCAAGAGGCAGTTGTTTGAACAGAACAAAGGGATGCTGCATGGTTTAAAATCAGGAAGGGTGTGCGTCAGGGTTGTATCCTTCACCATGCTTATTCAGTCTGTATGCCGAACAAGTAATCCGAGAAACTGGACTATATGAAGAAGAATGGGGCATCAGGATTGGAGGAAGACTCATTAACAACCTGCAATATGCAGATAACACAGCACTGCTTGCTGAAAATGAAGAGGACTTGAAACATTTACTGCTGAAGATCAAAGACCACAGCCTTCAGTATAGATTACACCTCAACATAAAGAAAACAAAAATCCTTACAACTGAACCAATAAGCAACATGATAAATGGAGAAAAGACTGAAGTTGTCAAGGATTTCATTTTACTTGGATCCACAATCAACACGCATGGAAGCGGCAAATCTGCTGCAAAAGTCTTCTTTAAAGTGTTAAAAAGCAAAGATGTCACCTTAAAGACTTAAGATGTGTCTGCAAGCCATGGTGTTTTCAGTCATCTAATATGCACGTGAAAGCTGGACGATGAATAAGAAAGACCGAAGAGGAATTGACGCCTTTGAATTGTGGTGTTGGTGAAGAATACTGAATATACCATGGACTGCCAAAAGAATGAACAAATCTGTTTCAGAAAAAGTACAACCAGAATGCTCCTTAGAGGCAAGGATGGTGAGACTTCGTCTCACATACTTTGGACATGTTGTCAGGAGGGATCAGTCCCCAGAGAAGGATATCATGCTTGGTAAAGTAGAGGGTCAGTGAAAAAGAGGAAGACCTTCAACAAGATGGATTGACACAGTGTCTGCAACAATGGGCTCCAGCATACCAACAATTGTGAGGATGGCACAGAACAGGGCAGTGTTTCATTCCGTTGCACATAGGCTCACTATGAGTCAGAACCGAATTGACAGCACCTAACAACAAACTCAATATGAAAGCAGCTAAATAAAAGTAGAGTCCCTCTGCTCAGTTTCTTTCTGCATATTGGGAACTTTAAACAATTATTAGGCAATGTATTTGTCAGAACAAATCAGGTTATGCTGTGGTAACAAACAATGCCAAAATCTGCTTAACACACCAAAGGGGTCTCATTAGCTCTCCAGGCTGGCTATCCTCCATACAGTAACTTAACATTCCAGGTTATTGCAGTGTTCTAGCAGCTCAGTATCTACATGTGCTTTCATGATCATTGCAGCAGGGAGAGAGAACATAGAGAACCATGAAGGAAGCCTTAAATATGTCCCTGTGCATGTGACACATGTCACTTCGTCCACATTTTATTGACTAAAGCAAGTCACATGGCCATGTCTTACTTTGAGGTGGAAGGGAAGTTTAGTCCTGTATGCCTGAAAGAGGACACTTGGGAATACTGGTGAGCATTTGTAATGTTTAACTACACTTACCTAGTAACTATTGTTTGAATGCCCTCTAATGAGCTAGTTAAGTTCTAGATGATATGATTCAGGTAAATTTTGAAATATGGTATCTACCCATTAGTTTTGTAGAGAATGTACACATGTGGAATAATTAGTGAACAAGATAATATATACTCTAGGTAACAAATTGTAATAATATGTATTAACTTATCTATTAATTTGGAAGGGATTTACATTTTTATCATATTTACATTTTATGATTTCTAAGTTTCCCAATTCAAGAGCATGATACGTCTCTGTATTTTCTTCTTTATATCTGACAATAACATTTCATAGTCCTTTCTGGTTAAATGTATTCTTGGGTGTTTTATAATTGTGTTGTAATATTTGAATGAGATTTTTTTTCACTTCTTTTCTACCTAGTTACAGCTAATACAAAGAAAGGCTGTATGCTTTTTGTATATTCATCCCTCATCCAGACACCTTAATCTTAGTACCCTTAGTCGTTTGCATAGCTTTTGTAGTTGAATCTCTTAGGAGAGTAGTTCTCAAGTTTTGGCCCCTGGACCAGCAGCTTCAGTATCACCTGGGAACTTCCTAGAAATCCAAATTCTCAGACTCCCAAACCAGACCTACTGAATCAGAAACTTTGGGGGTGGGGCCCAGCTTTGGGGATTTTTAGATATAGAATTATACCTGTGAAAATAATGATAAAGTTCTCTCTTTTGTCTCAGTAGTTGTATTACTATTTCTTTGTCTTACCTGTAGTATTAGATGAAATGTATAGAATGGTATTGAGTACTTAGTGGAAATAATTGTGTTTTTTATGTTATTTAAAAGAAGTAGTGTTTGTTATTTCCTGGCCTTTAGCATGTTTAAAGGTTTCATACTCTTTGAAAATTTTACTTAGAATTTTAAAACAGGAATGACTGTTGAATTTTAGCAAATGTTTTCTAGCATTTATTGATATAATTATATGAGTTTTTTTCTTTAATTTGTTTTTGAAATGTGTTGATGGGCTTTGTTATGTTGAACCTCGTATGCATTCATGGAATAAGTCCAACTTGGTGGACTTATTTTAACATATTGCTAGATTTGATTTGCTAATGCCCATTGCCTGACATTCTAGTTTATCAAATTATTTGTTTCCTCCCAAAATAGCAACAACAATCTTCTTTTACTTTACCAGTAAAATTGGTTCTTATTTTCTTAAAAGTGGTTAAGAACTTGGCTGCTAACCAAAAGGTCAGCAGTTTGAATCCAGCAGCCACTCCTTGGAAACCCTATGGGGCAGTTCTACTCTGTTCTGTAGGTTTGCTATGAGTTGGAATCGTCTTGACAGCAATGGGTTTGGTTTTTGGTTTGGGTTTTTTAAAAGTATGCTTTACCTATTTTGAACTTAAACTTTAAATAAATTTTGATACTACAGGTTTCATGTAGCACCTTGGACCTCAAATCATAACAATATTAATAGTTGACTTTATATGTTCTTATTAGAATTCTGCCAGATATCTGGCTGGGTAGCTGTCCTCGCCAAGTGGAACATGTAACCATCAAACTGAAGCACGAACTGGGGATTACAGCTGTAATGAATTTCCAGACTGAATGGGATATTATACAGAACTGCTCAGGCTGTAACCGCTACCCAGAACCCATGAGTCCAGACACTATGATTAAGCTGTATAGGGAAGAAGGCTTGGTCTACATCTGGATGCCGACACCAGATATGAGTACTGAAGGTAAGGGTCAGTACAATCATCCTGGCTTCTTGCTCGATATGTTTCAGAGAAACTCTTGCTGTCTGTTGTCTCTCTGTCTCTCTCTTTCTCTAATTGAATGAACTATGTGTAAGTGGTGGAAATGGAATCAATATAACGTATTAGATTTAATAGATTTAATGCATATCTTTTGACACCTTGGCTAAAATTCCACTTAATGTGGCTTCTTAATTAATTTGTTTATTCATTAAATATTAATTGTGTATCTACTATGTGTGTGTGGCATTACGCTGGTAAACTGGGAATACAATGGTGAAGAAAAGCAGGTACAACTCCAGCCCTCATGGAGCTTACAGTCCTATAGTACTGACATTAATCAAATGACTATAAATATAAATTTAAAACCATAGTGAGATTTTGTTAAAATGATACGTAGATACTGCTATGAGAATATAAACCAAACCAAATCTATTGTCATTGAGCTGACTCTGACTCATAGCCACCCTGTAGGACAGCGTAGAACTGCCCCATAGGGTTTCCAAGAAGCCGACTGCCACATCTTTCTCCTTTGGAGTGGCTGGTGTGTTTGTACTGCTGACCTTTCGGTTAGCAGCCGAACGCTTTACCACTATGCCACGAGGGCTCCTTGCTATGAGAATACATACAGGCAAACGGGAGGTTTTCTTGGGAGGTAATGTTTGAACTGAGATCTGAAGAGTGAATTGGGAGGACAGGTGAGGTGGGCGAGAGCATCCTAGGCGGAGGGAGTAACTTGAGAAAAATCCCTGTTGTGGGAAAGTGAATAGAGTGTTGCCAGAAGTTAAAGAAGGCAGTGTGACAGCAGCTCAGAGAATGAGGGCAGAGTGTGGTGTAAAAGGACACTGGAGTGGTGGGCAGGGATCACATATGTATGGAGGGCCTTGGCAGGACTTTAGAATCTATCCTAAAGTGGTGAGAAGCAGTTGAAAAGGGTAAGAAGCTGGAAGATACCAAGATAAAACTTTTTTTCTTCCACAAGTGTGCTTTGACTGCAGTGTGGAGAATGGATTGGAGGTGGGCCCAGAATGCAGCTGCGGAGGCCAGTTAGGAGGTTTCCGCGATGGTTGAGGTGAGAGAATGCAGCTTGGGGTAGGGTAGAGATGGTAAGTCTTCATCTACTCAGTATGTCTTTGTGAAGAGGGAATTACGGCGTGCATGGAATAAAAGCACAGTTTTGATCTAATGGTAATAGGCAGTGTGACGAATTCAGAACTAATTACAGTGCAGAGAAGAGTGTGCTGGGAGAAGATTGAATAGTGTGCTCTATGAGGGTGATCGGCTGGGAGGAGCATGTTCTGTGGAGGAACATGGGGAGTCTACGTGAGTGTGGTGTAGTTGGGCATGGTTTTGACAGATAGATGTCAGAGGGAGGGGGAAGGGCAGGCTAGGAGGAGGAAGTAGCATAAGCCAAGGTACAGCCACCCTCATGGTACAACTCCAGCCCTGGGACTTCAGGGGGACGATGTGTATTTCAGCCTAGTTGTAGAAGAGAGTATTTTTCAGGAAGGAAAGGAGACTTCTGAAGCCAAGAGAACCAAGTTACGTGAATACTGCCAGCCAGGTGTCAGCAGGGGGCAGCAGAGAGCTGTGGAACTGGAACAGGCTATGGGAGTTTAGTGAACTGATATTTTGGGGGAAAGAAGGAAGGAAGCATTTTCCCTCTTCCCTCAAACATACCTTATGTATCAAACTTCTGAGCAATTTGCATGCATTAATTTATTTAATTCTCGTATCAAAGCTCTAAGTATTAATAAAAAAACAACCCCATTGTCATCGAGTTGATTCTGACTCGTAGAGACCCTAAAGGACAGAGTAGAACTGCCCCACAGGGTTTCCAGGAAGCACCTGGTAGATTTGAACTGCCAGCCTTTTGATTAGCAGCCTTAACTCTTAACCACTACACCACCAGGGTTTCCTCTAGGTAGTGTAGTTAGCTTCATTTTGCAGAGGAGGAGACTGAGGTACAAAAAGTTAAGTAACCTGCCCAAGGTCCTATAACTAGTAAGAGGCATGGCCTGTATTTCATTGCAGGCATTCTCACTCTGAACATTGCTCCAGACCCGATACTCTGAAGCTTCTCCATACATACTCTCCAGATTCTTCGTGCACATTCAGCAGACCAACACACGTCAGTCACTCATACTCATGATCAGCTAGAGTTACACAAAGTCATGAATCACAAGGGAGGTAGCTGATCTTCCTAGAGTCAATAATCACAAGACTGAGTCAGGACAGAAGACCTCAAGGGCTACAGAGAACTTAGGTATCTGGACCTCACCCACTTTTGCCCTTTGTGGACCTCAGGTAATCCTCCTGGCCAGTCTGAACCCCTTCATCGGTCTGTGTCTGAACTGAACGATTATTAAAGATGAGGTATATTTTTTGCTCCTGGAGGCAGGGATTGTCTTTGACACTTTGGTTACTCCTCTTGGTAACTCCAATTCAAAGAAGCTTTATTTAGCCTTAAAGTTCTTCCCTTTTTAAAGTAAGAAAAAACAAACTTTATTTGCACAGAAGAGCATTGATTGAACCTAGGGCATATTCACCTTGTTCAGCTTGTTTCTGTGGTTTCAAAACAGAAAAGATTGTTAGGATCGAGTACTTAGCTTCCAGAGGACAGTTGGAGTTTGGCTTCTTGGATTCTGATTTTACAGCATTGCTCTCCCATTGGAGTACTCCGTGAGATGAGGCGAGGAGACGTTCACCTGCTAACTGTGCTGCGCATCCCGTTCCATCCTATGCACTGATTACCTGAAGGCCCTGCTGACTAGTAGGTAATTTGCCTGAGAGTTTACAGATATGCTGAAGCTGGAGGGAAAACTGTATCTCCAAAGACCCATTGTGATTGTATTCAGATTTTTGGGGGAAGGGGTCACCAAGTCACACAGCCCTAGTCATAGCAGCTCAGAAACACAGCATCTTCCATGCCGACACCACCCTGCAGCACAAAGACAGCACGAGGAAGGCTCCACGTAGAATGGGGTAAACTCTGAGACTACGTAAAGGGCAGTTTGGTTCAGCATAACCTGGGGGAGTAAACAAAGGGTTGACAACCGTCCTTGAGTCCCTGGAGAACTTTTAACCAATAGATCATTCTGTGTGGGCCACAATATTAGTGCAATGAACGTATAGGTTAATTCTGCCAAATGTTTTTAGAACTCTGAAGAAAAATCCATCTGGAAGTGTTTTGAGCCGCAGCATAATGCTGTCAGATAAAGTATGAGGAAGAAGACAGTTTGTTAGGCTCGACTGTCACCACTGGTTGTCACAGACCTGTTACAATCAATTGTACTATCGATCCTTCCTCTTTACACTTTGTTGTATGTAGAGAGGTTGCTTAGGTTTTTTTTTTAAACTCTGATTTGCACCTGTCACCTGAGAAACAAAAAGCAAAAAGCTCACCTGGAAAAAAAAAAGCTACTCATTAACACTCGGTTTTCCTTCACGTAGAAAATAGGTTGTACTTTGACCTCTGTCACTGCAGTGCTGTTTATAACAAATGATCTATCCTTGCCTCCCAAATGAATTAATGTGCTTCCCGAAGTCCTCAGCTACCCATTCTTAACACTGTCTAAGTCCTTTTTTCTCTCACTTAACATACTGAGTTCAGTACTGGCAAAATGGAGACACTGACCTTGGAGCCAGGACACCTTGGTTTGAGTCTTGGTCACCACCACTTACTAGATGTGTGAGATTGGGCGAGTTTCTGCATTTGTAAAATGGGGGTAATACTTTCTACTTTACAGGACTATAAAGGATAAAATAAGATAATTGATATGAAGGTGCTTTGAAAATCACAAAGTCGTGTACAAGATATTGAATCCAAGTCATATTCCTAAGTCCTAAGTGCTTTAGTTTCTATCAAAGGATGTGGTAGTTTGAACCTTATCTCAAGATATGCTCAAATAAAATAATAATATAATAATATATTCAGCCATATATCTTCCCCTGTAGTGAAGAAGGAAATATTCATGTGTGTATGTGTGTTGGAAGGGCAAAAGCTGTTTGTGCTACGAATTATTTCTTTCAGGGGCAATCTTAGGCAAAGTTAATCGTTATTGCCTTTTTATCCCCTCCCTTTTCCAGTCCTGATGCCTCGGACTGCTCCACTGTACCTGCCAAATGCTCTGTCCCTTTTTCCTCTTCTCACCCCTTTTGCCCCCTGAGTGCATGCTTTGTTAGGTTGTTAGGTGCTGTAGAATTGGCTCCAATTCATAGCGACTTTATGTATAACAGAATGAAAAACACTGCCCTGTCCTGTGCCATCCTCACGGTCATCGCTATGTTTGAGCCCATTGGTGCAGCCGCTGTGTCAGTCCATCCCATTGAGGGTCTTCCTCTTTTTTGCTGACCCTCTGCTTTACCAAGCATGATGTCCTTCTCCAGGGACTGACCCCTCCTGATAACATGTCCAAAATACATGAGAAGAAGTGTCGCCATCCTTACTTCTAAGGAGCATTCTGGCTATACCTCTTCCAACACATGTTAGTTCTTCCAGCAGTCCATGGTCTATTCAATGTTCGTCATCAACACCATAATTCAAATGCATCAGTTCTTCTTCAGTCTTCCTTATTCATTGCCCATCTTTTGCATGCATATGAGGCGATTGAAAATACCATGGCTTGGTTCAGGTGCACCTTAGTCATCAAAGTGACATCCTTGCTTTTTAAGACTTTAAGAGGTCTTTTGCAGCAGATTTGCCTGTTGCAGGCTTTAGGCAGCATTTAATCATTCCAGAGCTGAACTAGTCTGGAGGGAGTGTGGGCCAGAAGTTAGATTAGAGTCATCTAGTAATGTCTCAGATCAAATAGATATTATTGTTTTGAGCAATGGAAAATTTTCTATCAAATTAAATTCTATATAGAACCTAAAGACATAAAACATACAAATTAGCTGCTCTGGTTGACAGTGGCTGTATTGCACAGGGTATAGGTGAGCCCTGATTGGAGATTCTCTTTTTGTTCCCTGGTGGGTTATATATTGGCTCAGGATCCCTGGAATGGGTTTTCAAGCAGAAGGAACTGAGCCCCTTGGGTGCAGAGAACTCCGGGTAGGGGTAGAGTGCTAAACCCTAGGGAGGATGTACTCTCACAAATGGGTAAGAGCAGCAGCATGACTAGGCTGGTGGGAGGCAGATGTGACTGGGAACTCAGCGTGACAGATGGGGGCCAGAAAGTCCCACTGGCCAGAGAGGTTAGGGAAGGACAGTGATAACAGTGTTTGAGGCCAGAGCGTTTGGAGTCAGACTGGCTGGGTTTGAGTGGTCACTTACAGAATAACCTTGAGCAAATCTCTGTGCCTGTTTCCTCATATATAAATCGAGGATAATAATATTACCGGCCCCATAGTTGTTAAGAGGTATTTGTTAAATAAGCTATTGCAGGCAAAGTGCTTAGAACAACACTTGGCAGTAGAAAGGGCTTAGTCAGAGTTAGGTATCATCTGTCAAAGCAGGGTGATTTGCAGTCACCAGGCATCAAAATAAACAAGGGCTGCAGCTGGGGCCAGGCTGTGACAAGTGAGCACCTGGGACCAGCTACTTCTCTTGTGCTCCTTTGTATTATTGTTCTTTTTGTTATTTAAATATATGTTTGATTGTTCTTAAGTAGGAAGACTGAGTCCTTTTGGGAGACCACTGGTGGATGTGCTCAGTTGAGGAAGGCTGTGTTAAGCTGGGAGAACTTCTGGAGCTTCCATGTAGCAGCTGGCTTAGACTCTTCAGGAGTATGTGCCTGAGATCACAGAATCTTACACTAACACACAGCCCTTTTCAACTTCTACACTGTGTATATTCCTGTTGGAGACTCTTTAACAGATAAACTGAGGGACGGGGAGATTTGCACCATCTGGACCATTTGATGCAGACCCTTCACTGGGGAACCTCTGACCAGAGACCAGATCTGGGAAAGGGGTCCTGACCCGGCCCGTGTAAGACTGTGCATGGGCAGGCCAGTCACATGATGCTGTAAAAGTGGACACCAGGGCTGGGACCCTGAGTCCAGCAGTCCAGGTAGTGCTCCTACTGCATATGGCCACTGTGGTCTATTAATATTTTGGGCATTTGATTAAAACCTACATTAAACTTATTCCTAATTTATTTCCTGCCAATATATGTAGTACTTGGAAAGGTAGCCTTTCCAGGTAACTTGTAAAAGTAATGTTAGCAGTGGCAGGAGAAGGAAGACCCCAAGCTTCCCAGGTATCTCAGTGGAGTTTTGGTCCCACTCTGAATTACTTTGGTTCAACCTCTGACGCTGCCCCAGCAGAACCAATGCTACAGTTAGACAGACCTCACCTTTCTCAGCAGGTTGCTAAAGCATACCCTGGAGGTTTTCTCTTCTCTGATTCCCCAACTCAAATGGCGGATCCACTCACAGTACTTCCCTTGAGAAGTATTCTTGTATGTAAGATGCATTTCACCTCCTTATGTTTCCAGTGAGATTGTGGTGGCTCTTAGAGGTTTGTGCTGTGAACAACTGATTGTATGGTAGGTTCTCCTAGCTCTAACCTCAGAGCATGCTGAACCCAGGCGGGGAGATTTAGATGAATTAAAGCTCATGGCTCAGATAGTTTGGACTATGAGGAATTGGCCTACACACAGGGACAACTATGTCTCAAATTCAGATGCCTTCAGGGGCTGGGCAGGTAACATAAACTGCGGCATCAGGCAGTACAGAGTGATGGAGTCTATGGGCCTGCCAAGTGTTTCCTGCCTCAGAGCATTCCAAGCATTTAAGCTGCTGTGTGGAAGCCTGTAGTTTTAGGTCCCCTAGTTAGAGGGAGTAACAGAGAACCAGCAGCAAGATTAGAGCATTATTCTGGCTTCCATGCATTCTCTCTGCTACCATCTCAGAGCATGGTGAGCCTGAAGCTCAGGCAGATGGGACTAGTACAGCTGGGTAGAGTGGTGGCTAAGAGGGCCTTCAAGCCACATGGAATCTTCGCTAAAGTCTTGCTCTAAGGTGCTTATGACTGATCACAATGTGTTATGTTGGCCCTTTTAGGGACACTTGCATTTTGAAAGAGGATGTCTAAAGAGAAAAGTCTAAATTTAATTGAGTGGCTCTTCTGGGAAAATTCCACAGCTCAGTGCAGATTCGCAGGTGAGATCATTTGAGGGAGGGGCTTTTCCTGCCTCTCCAGTCATCCAGTGGGGAAAGTAATGTGAAGGCCAGAAGGGCTATTGTGTGTGGTTTCAAAGATCTTTTCCAAGCAGGGGCAGATTATCCAACAGGCCAGATAAGCACTGTGCTTACCTTTCTTACCAGAGCATCTGTTAAAACAAAACAAAACCTGCCAAACCTGTTGCTGTTGAGTCAGTTCTGACTCAGCAACCCTATAGGACAGAGTAGAGCTGCCCCATAGGGTTTCCAAGGAGTCGCTGGTGGATTCGAAGTGTTAACCTTTTTGGTTAGCAGCCAAGCTCTTAAGCGCTGTGCCACCAGGGCTCCAGATCATCTGTAGTGAACAATTTGACATTTTTTTTTAACCACATCAAAGATTTTGCTTCTAGGTATGTCTGGGTCTGTCCCTCTCACAATCCCACAGTACTTTCCTACAGAATCAAAGGCTCTTTTTAAATTTACAAACCCTGAGAGGGGCAGATTACCCAGTCAGCAACGTAAACATGGGCTTACTTGTGCTTATTTCCTAATCTGTAGTGAACAGTTTCACCTGTTTTCCAACCCGGTGAAAATTGTTTGCTACAGATTAGGAAGTAAGCACAAGTAAGCCTATTATTACCTTGCTGACTGGGTAATCTGCCCCTTTCCAAGCCATGGTGTCCTTGTGTGGTTGATGACAGTGAGTGGCTAGAGACTGCTCAGTCATAATCACACAGTTGCAATCCAGAGTTTTCCTTTATAGTCTACAGTTTACTCCAGAACTTTGTATAATTTTCCTTTCTTCCCTCTTGCAGTCATTCCCCCCAACTCCCCAAACTAAATTATCTCTGCTCTGAGCATCTGTGAGAGGAAGACACTTCAGGCATCAGGAGGGCAAGGAGATGACTGTGAGGGTTCTCTGCCCCAGAGGACGAGAGAGGGGAGGGAGTCTGACAAGCCTGGCAGAGCACTGCATACCCTCCCTCCATGTGACAAGGAGACATTTGAATAATCTACTAATAGAAACAGTAATCATGAAGAGGCAATAACTATAATTACAATTAGCCCGTTAAGTAGATTGAATCAGCTTTATTACTCACTCTATCACGAGTGAATGAATGAATGATCACTTATCCCACATCTATCTGTTTATTAATAAGTTATCCATTCCATTGGATAAATGAAAATTACCATATGTTGGATGAATAAGATCAATCCTTTAACCAATATGGACAAATTCTGTGTTTTACATTTACCCTGAAGATCTTCTTGGATTAAAGTTAATTCAGGTGGCGTAACCTAACAGGCTGTCTTTGAAATCCTCCATACTTCTGCCCAGTCTGTGCAGATTCTTCTGATGAGATGTAAAAATCCATTCCTCTGATGGCTGGCAATAGTTAACATTTCTTTGGAGGAAATTTGCATCAATGCTGAAGTAACTCAAAGGAGCAGCAATATCAAGCGAAGGCGGGTGCTTTCCCCACTTTATTGTTATCAGGTTGTAAAATGATCTCACCTTTTCCTTCAAAACAAAGGAATGAGGCAAACTCTAATATCCCTGCCTTGCCTTGCAGGGCACTGTGATCTCAAATGGCTGGAGGAGATATTTAGCAGCTGCGTCTGGCTTCATTATTCACGAGTTTGCTGTGTTTTCTGATCGCAGGCCGAATCCAGATGCTGCCCCAGGCGGTCTGCCTCCTGCACGCGCTGCTGGAGAACGGGCACACCGTGTATGTGCACTGCAACGCGGGCGTCGGCAGGTCCACGGCGGCCGTCTGTGGCTGGCTGCAGTACGTGCTGGGCTGGAGCCTGAGGAAGGTGCAGTACTTCCTCATGTCGAAGAGGCCTGCTGTGTACATCGATGAAGATGCATTGGTACGGGCAGAAGAAGACTTTGTTCAGAAATTTGGGCAGGTTCGTTCTTCCACATGCTGTCCATAGTTGGCCAGTCTGCCTTCCCGGCCTCCCAGTTTCCTTCAGGAGGCCGAGGTAGAGTAAGAAAGAAGACCCAGAAACAAAGATTTTACCTGAACCCAAAAGCTGTGATGGTGGGGGCTTCTCCCTCAGCGCACCCCCTGTAGTCTGGGCAGAGTTTCTTTTATGCTTTGGCGGGGCTCTCTTCTTTGAAATATTTCACGAAGGAATCTGTGACTGATGCACGAGTAAGGCCAAAAGCAGTTGGGGTGTGCAATGTTGTTCTAGCATCAGCCAGGTAATAAGCTCAGTTCCTGCTGCCTGCAGGCAGATTAGTCCTTTGCTTTCAGACACTATATGTGTTTTATTATGAATTCATGACTTTCTTGTTGCATTCTAACTGTTTGGGGTACAGAAGAAAAAAATTAGCAAGTTAAGTAGATTTCATCACTTGTGCACACAGAGGCACAGACACACATAAACTTACACACACACAAAGTACTGCTTTTCTGCTGAACCTAACTGAAAGTATAAAAGAACAGTTGGCCACTTGCCAGACGGAGTAAGGGTTGAAGCTGGACGTGACAAAGGAAGAGCTTACTGTGGCTAAAAACCGATGGCTTGCTAGACTTTGCATCCTGCAGTTGTTGAAGTCTATTCTAAGGCATCACCTTCCTTACCCACACAACAACCCTGTGAAACACGCAAAGAAGAGTTATCTGTATTTTTTTCTTTCCTTTTTTTTTTTTGAGGTTGAGGCTCAAAGTGCATAGAGAGCTTATTCAAGGTCGCATGGCTAGTCGGGCCAAGCTGGAGTTTATAACCCTTGTTGATTTGAGTCTTAGCTCAACGCTGTTGTCAACACAGCTTGTTTGGCCAGCATAGTGCAGTGAATTCAGTTTCTGTCTTTGAGACTAAGATCTGTATCTCTGCAGCAGTTTCTACAGTGAGAAATGGAACGGTATTCTGATCAGCCGCCAAGGAGGAAAGTAGTTGTATTTTGTACAACCTAATTTAAAAGACAGGGTGCCTTCTGAAGGCCAGTGAGGTCTGAGCCATAGCTCATAAGAGGAACTATATTACCAAAGGAGCCGAAAGAGTCAAAATCCACAGATAATTGTTGCACAGATTAGAACTGATCTCGGTTCAGCCCTCAGTTCAATGCAATATGTGGTTACTGTGCCTCCGGAATTTGCAATTCACTACACAAGGTTCTACAGGGAATACAAGAGTGAACAAGACTGCCTTGAAGGAATTTATAGGCTAGAAACAGACTCCTGTTCAACCAACTATAAGGCAGGATTGAACTGTGAATGGTATGCTGGAGTAGGGGAAAAGGAAGTAACTTTTACTGAGTGCCTCTTATGTGCTGGGTGCTTAATAATCTTATCCAGTTTCATCTTCATGGTACCCTATGGGGGAAGTTTCACTCTCTCCATTACATAGATGAGGAATTAAGGCTCAGAGAGCTTAAGTCAGCTGCCTAGTATCACATGGTGAGTAAATAGATGAATTGAGATACAAAGCTAGGTTTGTCTGACTCAAAGCCCTTGTTTCTTCTATTAAACTGCAATGCTTATTTTATTTTGCTCCTTCTTTCCTTCCACAAATATTTGTTGATATATATGAGAGACTGATTTAGGAGCTTTGGGTGATAAAAAAGGACACAAGGTATATTTCAGTGGAGTTCAGAGCAGGGAGAGATGACTTATAACTGTGGGGCTTGGGGGAAATGGCATTTGATTTAGGCAGAGAAAGGACACATTTCTTCTACAATTTTACAGAGTGAAATTTATAAGCCAGCAGTGAATAATGTGAAGTCTAGCTCCCTTGCTAAAAATAACTGGAGATAACCAATGTATTAAAATAACCCATTCACAGTCATAATGTGTTGTGTAAAGTTTAATCTTAAATACTGACTATTTCTAAATGATGTTTGTGTCTATTTCCTTAATGTCTAAGAAATTCAGTTTCATACTTTTCACCATAGGCAGATCATCTTGGGTGGGTTTTTTCCTTATTGCTCTGATGGACAAAATCAGTTTAGGGCTATTAAAGAATGTTTTGGAATAACCTTCTTGTCCTTAATGAATGGGATGTGTAATGTATTTTGAAAGCACCTGGAATTTTTGCTAAATAAAAACATTAAAAATGACCTCCGTGTATAGGGTTTTTGAAAAAATGTTATCAATTTAGCCTGAAATCCAGAAGAACAAACTGTGTTTCCTTATTTGTAAAGGGGGCAGTCAACTGAGCTAAATTGTTTATTCCTTGTCGCCCTTACTCTCTCATTAGCTGATCACAATTGGCAGTAACATGACAAAAGGAAGTCAAACGTGAGGGCACCACGAAGAAGTGAGGATGAAAAACTCCAGAGTGTGTCAGAGCAAATCAAAGCAGATATTGTTCCATTAGCTGCTTGTCACTGGCATTAGCCAAACTCTTCAGTCGCAGATTTCTCAAAGGAAATTATAAGAAGATCTCACTCACGTTAAAGAAAAAAGTCCAAATAGTGCTGCTTTCTTTTAGACATGAAAGATTTTCCCTCAATTATTTTTGTGTGCCAAGTCTAAATGAATCAACATGTTTTTTCTACCAACATTAAGATGTAAGTGAAAACCACTTGGCTTGGCCAGATAAATTATGGTAAAGAAAATGTGATTAGGATCTCGGGAGAACTGAAGATGACTTAGAAAGGAAATGAAAATTCCTAATACATTAAAAACAACAACAACAACAACAAAAAACCCAACAACTAAGAATAGCTAAATATTTCATTTTGTTATCCATTTGGTCGCTTGAGTTGAAGCCAAGTTGACAGCACCTAGCAACATTAACAGCTAAACATACAGTCAGTTTTATCAAAAGTTAAAACTATGACTGTTTTAAAGATAACCTGGTCTAATTTATTTTACAAAGGATTAAACTGAGACCCTGAGACATCCAGTGACTTTCCTATGACAAAGTTGTAATTGCGGACCAGAGGAAAGGATGGGTCAAGAGATTTATTGTGATGTTGAAGAATCACAGGACAATTTATGGGAATGAGAACAGACAGTACCATTTGTGGGGAAGAATTGGAGGGAGGATTAATGGAAATTAGAGTAAATGGAATAAAAATGGGTAGAATGAGTAAAAGTAAAGGACAGTGAAACGTCCAAAAGAAGAACAAGCGGGTGCTTTCTTTTGTGAAGACACGATTGGGGATTGAGAGGGAAGGGGTGACTGTGGATGCAGAGGGGGCGAGTCAAGGCCATGTCCTCAGGATAGAGGGTCGTTTGAAGTATCCACCCACTTCTCTGATGGACGCGATTACTGTAGGAAAAATGACCAGCTAGATGCAATGGGATGAGACTTGCAGTGGCATAATACTTGCTAGGAAAAAAAGAACATCTGATAGATGATAAGACTAAGAATAAAGGGGGCAGTACTGATGAAGACACCTCATTAAACAATAGTAATGGCAGCAGTAACCAAGGGAGGAGAAAGAACAATAAAAACAACTCCTTTCTTTCCTTCCCTAAACCATTACTTAAAAAGTCTTCCCCAATTCGGTTAATGGAAACTTACGTCCAGTCACTCAGCCCGAAACCTCAGAGTCACTCTTGACTCCTCTCTTTTTTTTCAAACATTACTCCAACCCATCAGAAAAACCCAATCTCTTCTCTGTCAAAATATGTACAGAATCTTTCTTACTTCTTCCACCAAACAACCCTGGCAGAGCCACCATAATCTCTAGACTGGATAGCCTCCTAACTGGTCTCCCTGTTTCTGTCCTTGCCCCCTTGTCCTCCCTCCAGTTCCTGTCACTACCAGGTTTACACTCACGCAGTGGCCAGGGTGATCCTGTAAAACTGCAAGTCAAATCATATCACTCCTCTGCTTGGACCTCCAATGGCTTTCCATCTCTCTCAGGCAAAAGCCCTTCAAGGACCTAAACAATCTGGTCGCCTGTTACCTCTCTAACTTCGTCTCCTACTACCTTCCACCTCACTCACTCTGCTCTAGCCACACGGGCTTCCTTGTTGCTCTTTGAATATTGCAGGTAGACTTCTGCCTCAGGGCATTTGCACTTGCTCTTCTCTCTGCCTGGAATGCTCTTCTCCAGATTAACACATGGCTCACTCCAGTACCTCTTTCAGTGATACCTTCCCAGACCACCCTCTTAAAAATTGTAATACTCAACCCCTGCCCTCCCTATTCCCATTCCCTCCATGGCACTTATTACCAGTCAACAAATTATATGATGTACTGATTTCATTTTATTATCTGTATCCTCCCACTACAATGTAAACTTCACAAAGGCAGACATTTATACCAGTTTTGTTTGGCAATGTACTTAGAGTGTCTATAACAGGGCCTGGCATATAGTGCAACAAGTGAAGAAAAAGGATAGTATTTATTGAGAGCATACAATGTTGCAGACCGTGTTCTTTAAGTGCTTTGCATTTATCAGGTGATTTAATCTTTCCAGCAATGCTGTCTTAGTTATCTGATAGTGCTGCTGTAACAGAAATACCACAAGTGGATGCTTTAACAAACAAAAGTTTATTCTCTCACAGTCTAGTAGGTTAGAAGTCCAAATTCAGGGAAGGCATCAGCTCCAGGGGAAGGCTTTTTCTGTCAGCTCTGGAGGAAGGTCCTTGTCATCAATCTTCCCGTGGGCTAGGAGCTTCTCTGCACAGGAACCCCAGGTCCAAAGGACATGCTCTGCTCTCAGTGCTGCTTTCTTGATGGTATGAGGTCCCCCTGTCTTTATGCTTGCTTCTCTCTTTTATATCTCAAAAGAGATTGGCTTAAGACACTAATCTTGTAGACCTCATCAGCATAACTGCCAGTAATCCATCTCATTAACATCATAATGATAGGATTTACAGCACATAGGGAAATCACATTGGATGACAAATGGTAGACAATCATACAATATTGGGAATCATGACCTAGCCCAGTTGACAGATATTTTTGGGGACACAATTCAATCCATGACATTATCCATATAAGGACATTGAGCCATAGTGTGAATGCAAGCTGAGTGACCTGGCATGGCATCAGAAGGGTATGGATTGTAAAGCAGAAAATCAGCAGAAACTAGACAGTGTAAGAATAGAGAGCTGGACTGTGAACAGAACAGATCATTGTCACTGCCACACCTACACCAATGATTTCATCAAGTCAGAGAAAACTCAAAACTCACTGAATAGAATTTACTGTTTGCAGTATAGGCTTATTTAAGAAAATAGAATATACTTAATTCAATAGAGATCCTTACTGTTGCCTTCTAAAGCGAAGCAACAATCCAAAGATGGACATACGAAAATTTTAGTGAGTATTTTGTACTCATAGTGGAAAAATAAGGTAAGCAGTCCTCATTCCTTATAGAACAGTGTTCAAACGAAACTTATTCCTGCCCAGCATCTCATGTTTCAGGGGCTTAATTCATTTATGTTTATTGTTATTACTTATATATTTGGACTTATTTCTAGTCTTTTATTTATTATTATTTACTGTGCTTTAAATGAAGGTTTACAGAGCAAATTAGTTTCTCATTAAACAATATACATATTGTTTTGTGACATAGGTTGTCAACCCTGCGACCGGTCAACACATCCAGCTTTCTGTTCATCCAGCTTTCCTGTCCCCTCCTTCGTTCTTGTTCTTGCCACTAGGGTAGTGTGCCCATTTAGTCTTGTATGAGTGGTTGAGCTAACTGTATTATCATTTGTTTTATGGGTCCGTCTAATCTTTGGCTGAAGGGTTAACCTCAGGAGTGACTTCAGTACTGAGTTAGAAGGGTGTCCGGGGGCCATAGTTTCGTGGTTTCTCCAGTCTCTGTCAGATCAGTAAGTCTGATCTTTTCTGTGAATTAGAATTTTGTTCTACATTTTTCTCCAGCTCTGTCTGGGGCCCTCTTGTGATCCCTGTTAGAGCAGTCAGTGGTGGTAGCCGGGCACCATCTAGTTGTATTCTCAGTCAGGTGAAATTTGTGGTAGTTGTATTGCATTAGTTCTTTGGACTAATCTTTCCCTTGTGTCTTTGGTTTTCTTCATTCTCCCTTGCTCCAGATGGGGTGGGACCAGTGGAGTATCTTAGATGGCCACTCACAAGCTTTTAAGACCCCAGACGCTACTCACCAAAGCAGGGTGTGGAACATTTTCTTTATAAACTGTGTTATACCAATTAAGCTAGATGTCCCCCGAGATATTCTTTTAGTTTTATTTAAAATTTTTTCCTGTTTTATTTATGTTTCTTTTATCTTTTCTTGCTTTTATTTTTGGTAACTATTTCTTTCTACTTAAAGGAAAATAACTTTAACATTGATTTATATCCCTTGGTCTCCATCTTTCCTTCATTGGATATTATTACAATTATAATTATCAATTGTTTTAGGTATACTTTCTTTTTTTATTTTTGTATTCCTTTCTTTTTTTTTAAGTTGTTAGGGAAGACAAAAAAAGTGTTGATGGGGACCTTTCTTCATTGCCTAACTTACGGTTACCACCACATCCTGTTTTTAGTGCTTGTATCTCTCCCATCTTCCATCATAACTGAGAACTTTAAGCCCAGAGATGCTCCAGGGTTCCAGTGAGCATATTACTGCCCCCCTGAAGAACTGCATCCTCTCATGCAGTATTCTGAGCCACAGCTTCCTTTGCTTTAGTTCATCCATCAACACACTTCCAAAGCATTCCATCATGCTGAAATATCTACTGAATATCTTTTCCTTTCTCTTCATTGTTGCAGGTAGATTTCTATCTTCAAATTTTATATTGTAATTTCTATTGAGGTGTCAGGAGGAATAGTGCAATTGTTATTTTAAACTAGAATTCTCTCAGTCATCATCTGTGCCAATGCCCACATCTCAGTCTCCATTCTAGAGCTCTTTCCTGAGTGCCAGGCCCATATATCATTTTTGTTTTTTCTGGATATTTCTGTGTGGTCATTTAGGATATCTCCCAAAGTCAATATGCCACAAACTGATGTTTTCTTCCTTTTGCCAAACCTCCCTTGTTTTCTTTGCTGGGAAGAGAGTGGCAATACTATGCTGTCAGTTGCCCGAGTCAGAAACCCAAGTGTCATTTTTGTCATTTCCCTCCCATTTACCACTTTCCTATCCAATCGATATGTTTTGTCAGGTGAACCTCCTAGATATTTTTTACATGTGTCTACTCCCATCTATCTACCAGTTCTGACCTGGATTAATAAAGCATCCTCACTTATTTTTCTGTTGCTTTTCT